CTCCTGCTGCTCAGGCCAGCAGGTTCCTCAGCCTCCTCTTCCCTTAGGATTGAGAGATGGGGATTGGAAAGAAGCGGGAGGGAGAGAAATCAGAGTTTTTCTGCCTTTGGCAGAAGGAGCCCTTGGCCCCTTCTACATGAGTCCTTCAGCTTGGCCTGTCCCTGTATTGAAAGTCCATACTGCTCCTAAAGCCTGTGTTTCTTCCAAGGTCACACACCTGCCCCCACCCCTACCCCCTCTGCCCGTCAGGGTTGAGAATGTGACAGTGTCCTGCTAAGGGACAGAGCCCAGTCTGGGCTTTGGAGCTGGATATGGAGTCCATTCCAGCTGGAGTATGTGAATGGAGGAGGTGTGGCTCTAACAGGATGGTGTGAGTAGTTCTCATGAACAGTAGTATATAACCAGGCAATGCAGACTCTCTTAGTATATAATCAAGAAATGCATGGGCTGGGAAGGTGGCTCAGTGGTAGAGTGCTTGCCTGGCATGCATGAGGCCCTGGATTCGATTCCTCAGCACCACATAAGCAAAAAGAAAAAAGCGGGAAGTGGCGCTGTGGCTCATGTGGTAAAGTGCTAGCCTTGAGTTGAAGAGCTGAGGGACAGCGCCCAGGCCCAGAGTTCAGGCCCCACGACAGGACCCAAAAAAATTAAAAGAAAAAAGAAAAAGAAAAAAGAAATGTAGACTCTCAGGCCCTCCTTGGCCTAGATTCAGGGGGATTGGCCCCTGATCCTTAATGCACCCTCTATGTACATTCTAGGCACACATACATCTGAAAAAAATCTCAGAGGCCTGGACACCCATGGCTCATGTCTATAATCCTAGCTAGTCAGGAGGCTGAGATCTGAGGATTGCTGTTTGAAACTAGCATGGGCAAGAAAGTTTGTGAGACTCCTATCTCCAATTAACCACCAAAAAGCTGGAAGTGGAGCTATGGCTCAAGTGGTAGAGCGCTAGCCTTGAGCAAAAATGCTCAGGGACAGCACACAGGCCCTGAGTTCAAGCCCCTAGACTGACTTGAGAAGGTGGAGAGAGGAAGGGAGAGAGGGGGGTGGAGGGAGGGAGGAAAAATAAAATTGGATGGAGAGAATGAGATCAAAGCACAACAGTAACTGGCAAAATGGAGTGTTGGCGCCACAGACTTGGAAGATGAGGATGCAGCCCCCACCCCCACCACTGCTCCTCAAGACCTTGTGGCAAAATGAAAGTTGAACCAGGCATGTTAATGCCAATCAGATCAGATACAGTGTGTTTCACAGTGTTAGCACTCTGCCTAACCCAAGTGTTTGAAAGCTGCTGCTAGCTTTATTTCAGCTATTACATTGCTGCCCTGGTGCTCTGTAGCAGGTGCAGCAGGCTACCCAAGCCAGTGGGGTTTGTTGATGGAAGACAAGAGCATTAGAGATTTGTCTGGACAGAGTCAAGAGAAGCAGATGGCAGAACTGCAGTACTAGGTGCCAGGAAGCCACCAGGAACTGGAGAGATGGTACAGCAAGAATGGAGGCTGTGCACCGGTGGCACATGCCTGTAATCCTAGCTACTCAAGAGGCTGAGATCTGAGGATTGTGGTTCCAAGCCAGCCTGGGCAACAAAGTCTGTGAGACTCTTATCACTAATAAACCACTTAGAAAACTGGAGGTGGCACTGTGGCTCAAGTGGTAGAGTGCTAGCCTTGAGCTGAAGAGCTGAGGGATAGCACCTAGGCCCAGAGTTCAAGACCCACAACTGACCAAAAACAAAACAAAACAAAACAACAAAAGGAAGAGTACCCATGCTTACTGGGCCTTTTACCAGTAGAGACTCATTCTCTACCAATTCCAGAGACCTAAATCCCCAAGCCAGTGTCACTGGGCCAAAAATCAAGGTGTCCACAGGGCCAGCTCCACACATGCTCATGGAAGCCTGCTCTGAGACTGGCTCCCTGCTGCTAGTAGTTTTTGCATGAGGACACACTCATTGGAGTTAGAGATCATAGAATCCATTTGGTCTCATCTAATTCCTTCCTTTATTATACCTTCAAAGACCCAATTTCCAAATAAAGTCACATTCTGAGGTTTTAAGTAGAACCTGACGCCACCCCCACCCCCTATCTGTAACCTCTTCTCTTACAGTGAGAACCTGGCCGCTGCCTTCCTCTTCCCATACTTTGCTGCTCTGTCCCAATAGTGAACTGTGGCCTCTGCTTTGCTAACCCATCTTATGATCACAAAACTGCTTCCTCCTGTCTTTTTCTACAGTCTTACCTGTTACAGAGGTTCCTCTCCCCCACAGTTCCCCTCGCCTCCTCTCAGAGGTGAGAAGGGGTGTCATGTATTTGTGACACAATTAGATTCTGTGTGTGTGTGTTTGTGTGTGTGTGTATGTGTATTTGTATCTGTATCTATCTGTATTTGTATCCGTATCTGTATGTGTATCTGTATCTGTAATGGGGCTTGAACTTTGGGCCTGGGTGCTGCTCCCAAGAGCTTTTATACTCAAGGCTAATGCTACCACTTTGAGTAACAGATTCACTTCCAGCTTTTTGTGGTTAATTGGAGATAAGAGGCTCACAGATTTTTACTGCCTGAGCTGGCTTCAACCCATGACCTTTAAGTCTCAAACTCCTGAGTACCTAGTCTTAGTTGCGAGACACTGGCAGTTATATTCGTAAGAGATTCACTAGATTCTAACTGGCAGTTAGATTTGTGAGGGGAGGGGGAGGGAGAGAGAAATTGTGTGTGTGTGTCTGTGCGTGCGCGTGCGCGCGCCAGTCCTGGGGCTTGAACTCTGGGCCTGGGTGCTGTCCCTGGGTGCTGTCTTTTGCTCAAAGCTAGTGCTCCACAGCATTAGCTAGCCTTGACTAGTGAGCCACAGCCCTACTTCTGGCTTTTTCTGAGTAGTTAATTGGAGATGAGAGTCTCATGGACTGCCTGGGCTGGCTTTGAACTGCAATCCTCAGATCTCAGCCTCCTGAGTAGCTACTAGGATTATAGGCGTGAGCCACCAGTGCTTGGTTTAGATTCTTTGTTTTGTTTTTTTTTTTGGGTCCGGTCATGGGGCCTGAACTCTGGGCCTGGGCGCTGTCCCTCAGCTCTTCAGCTCAAGGCTAGCGCTCTACCACTTGAGCCACAGTGCCACTTCCGGCTTTTTTCTTTTTGCTTATGTGGTACTGAGGAATGGAACCCAGGGCCTCTGGCATGCAAGGCATGCACTCTACCACTGAGCCACCTTCCCAGCCCCCTAGATTCTTTTTCACGATCTGAATTCCTTCATGGGGTTCTCCATCTTCAACTGGTCTTTCTTCATAGACATTGAAGGTCACTCTTGCGCCGGGCGCTGGTGGCTCACACCTGTAATCCTAGCTACTCAGGAGGCTGAGATCTGAGGATCGCGGTTCAAAGCCAGCCCAGGCAGGAGAGACCGTGAGACTCCTATCTCCAATAAACCACCAGAAAGCTGGAAGTGGCGCTGTAGCTCAAGTGGTAGAGCACTAGCCTTGAGCTGAAGAGCTGAGGGACAGCGCCCAGGCCCAGAGTTCCAGCCCCATGACTGACAAAAAAAAAAAAGGTCACTCTTGCATGAAGGTCTCTGGGCTTTGACTATTACCCTGTTCTGTGTCCACCACACTGTATGCTATCGGTGTTTCCCACACTTCACCTACTCAGCCCTCCCCCAGCCTCTGGCAACACAACCATCATCTGTCTCCCATCTTTATATTACCTTCCATCTTTAGATTCTGCATTCTAGATTGTCCTGTAAGTAGAGCCACTCACACATGCAGCCTTCCTTCCCTCACATAGCAATGTGGACTTAAGACTCATCTGTGGGTTTTTTTTATATCACTGCTTTATATCACTTTAATCACTTTCTATCATATGGTGCCCTGTGTGGATGGACCAGATCATTTATCTAGTTACCTATTATGGGATATGCTGGTTGATTCCAGTTCTTGACAATCACAAATAGAGCTGCTGTAGATATTTACATGCAGGCTTTGTAGACGTTCATTTTTCAGAGCGTTTGAGTAATACCCAGTGTCAGCCTGATTACTGGATCATATAGTAAGGCTATTTAGTTTTGTAAGTAACTGCCAAAGTGGCTGTCTCACATCTTGTTCCCAGCAGCAGAGAGCACTGGTGTTTGTCTTTTGGATTTTCGCCATCTACATCCAATAGGTATACAATGAGACTTCTCATTGTTGCTTTTATTCACATTTCCCTAAATGACAGAGAATGGTGGAGCATCTTTTCATGTGCTTATTTGCCATCTGTGTGTCTTCTCTGGTGAGATTCTTTTCAGATCTTTTGGCCACTTTTTTTCTTTTCTTACTGTTGAAGTATAAGAGTTCCTTTTATGTTCCCACATAAATCATTTATCAGATATAAGTTTGTAAACAACATTTCCCCCCAATCTATGACTTGAATATTCATCCTCTCAAGTTGCTACTGCAAAATATAAAGGTACTTTTTGAACCCACACGATTTATTTTTCATGTGTGGAACATATTTTCAGTATTGTATTTGAAAATTTATCATCAAACCCAAGGATATTTGCTACTAAAAATTTTACAGTTTTGCTGTTTTCACTGATTTTGAGCTAATTTTTATGCTGGGTATATGGCTAGTGTCTAGATCCATTGTTTGAGCACCATTTGTTGAAAGATCATCTTTTCTTCCCTGCTGGCTGAAAGGTCATCTTTTTCTCCCCTGCTAGCAATTAAAATTGACATCTCGCACTAGACATACTGGCTCATGGCTGTAATCCCAGATATGTATAAGGTAGCGATGGGAGGATCACAATTCAAGGCCAACTAGGGCAAAAAAAGTTAATGGAACCTATATCAGAAACAAACCAAGCACAATTTACATGTTTGTAATCCCACTACTCAGGAGGTAAGGGTAGAAGGTTCATAATCTAAGGCTGATTCCTTGGAACAAGTGGGTGAAAAATAAACCAAAGGCGAAGAGTTGAAGGGGTGACTCAAATGGTAGAGTTCTGATTTTTTCTTGTGCTTGTCTTACAGCAAGACCACTGGTGCAGACCCTGCCTCTAAGAACCACTGTCAACAATGGCACTGTGTTACCAAAGAAACCCAGTGGCTCCCTACCATCCCCATCCGGGTCCAGGAAAGAAATAACCATACCGGCAACCAAAAGGTAGACTTTTGAAGCACCTCTGTATTGAAAAGGCTCTGTCCTTTCCTGACATTCCACACTGTTTCATCTGAGTTAAAACATAAAATTCAGCCTCTGGTGTGTTGTGGTCAAAAGAATGCTATGCACTTAATTCTTCTTGCTTTAGATTTAACTGAATTGTCTGTAAAATCTCATTGGCTAGAGCCATCCTGTACAATTTCGTATTTTTACTTAAAGGTTCTCTTTCTAAAAACAAATGGGCTCATAGCCTAGGAAGAAAGAGCATGTTTTACCCTTGTCCATACATAGAACATAGCAAAATTCAAATTACCATAGCAGCCTTAAATTTGTTTCTATAAAATTTAGGCAAGCCCACACTTCTACATTATACCTAAGGGCTGTAGATGCTGGTTGTCTGCCAAGTAGATTGCAGTGTGTTCTTCACTTTGCAATGATTATTTATAATTATTTATAATTTATAATTGTCATATTAAAATACTGTATCTCATTGCCAGTGTGAAGTATTAGGCTATAGAAAACCAAAGGCCTGATGGTAATGGAGTGTAGCTAGCCTGGAACAAATCCCTCTGTAGCCTACTCAATGGGAATGCCCTAAAATGCAGAATTTGTGGAGTTCATTGACATGTCAGTGATCCTATGAACACAGAGATGTGGGTGCTCTGAGGGTATCCATGGGCTCACAGACGTCAGTGCTGCTGTAATTTAGAGTAGAAATCAGCCAGCCATCTTTTTATGCCCCTCCATTTCCTTCCGACTCTTGTGTTGAGGTCTCACCTCACCTGCAAGCTGTGAACTGCAGCCTGTTGGGGCTCAGCAGGTTGGTGGTGGATGTTTGCAATAGGTCTTTTGTGAAATATTTTGTCCTGGAGAAGCATGAGGTCTGTGTCCCACTATGTCTCGCTCACAGGAAACTTGGAGCTGCTTATGTCTGACCTGTGTCTAGTTTTTCCCTGACCCAGAGCGCTGCTCTTTGGAGCAGGGTTAACCCAGAAAAAAAAAGTTAGGTTTATGCTCCCTTTCAGGTGACACACAAGAGGTGACCTCAATGACACCGAAGCATTTTATCCCTCACAGGTCTGTGAAAGAAGAGGGAGCCCCCAGGGCTGACACAGGGTGCTCATCCAGCAGTCAGGTGCAGGGGAGAACTCTGCTTTTATTAGGACTCATGACATCATTTTCTAGGCTCTCTTGGGGGGGTTATGGATTGGCTAATTTAGAGAAAGCATGTAGGAAATGGAAAACTCTTCTGCACAAGTCTGGTGCCAGCCACTTGGGTCCTTCATGGGTGGAAGCTTTAGAGTAGTACATTTTTGGATCAGTGAGATGAAGAATAAATGGGCCATCTTGTAAAGGAGAGAGGATGGTTTAACTAGGCCAAAAGTGATGAGGTATGGCTAGGTTTCTAATAAATCATGTCAAGCCGAAGAATGGATGTGGAGGCTGCACATATTAAACGGTTACAACATCTTCAAATACGTATTGTTTGTACAGAATGGACTGTCCTGGCCAAGTAGATACTCCTCTGAGTTTCATCACATGGAATTTCATGGTTCATTTTTTTGTGATTTTAAGAAAATTTGTCTCATAGTGCCTTTTAGATTTTTCAAAACACAATTCTTGGCCTCATTTTACAAGTGTTTATCGTAATCAGAATCATTTGTACGTATAGCCAACACAAAATGACCTTTTGAATTCTAACTGGCAGCAATAAACAAGACTTATTTATCTAGATGTAAAGATAACAAGATTGACTTTTTTCTTTAAGATTCGGGCTTCCATCTGTTATTTTTATTGTGGTGAAAATGTATACCATTTCATCTACTGTCTTAACCATTTCAAAGTATATTCAGTTTCACAGTGTTAAATACATTCAAATTGTTGTTCAACAGATCTCTAGAACTTCTCAACTTGCAAAGCTGGAATCCTGTACCCATTTAACAATTCCCCTCCCCTCTCTTCTCTTCATAGCTCTTGGCAGATTCTTCTTCCCATTTTTTTTTTTTACGGTTTTTTGACTGCTTTAGATAATTCATAGGAGAGGATCCTGTCCTGTGTTCTCCAATGGCTCCATTTGCATGCATGTGTGTGTGTGTGTGTGTGTGTGTGTGTGTCACTTTTTTTTTTTACCCCATTCATCTGTTGATGGACACTGCGTTATTTTATATTTTGGCTACTGTGAATAATACTACAATGAACATGGTATACAACTGCTAGTTTGATGAAGTTTTTTTTTTCCTTGAAATAGGTTGAATTCGGTCAAATGCTTTGTCTGCATCCCTTGAGATGATCATGTGGTGTTTTTTCTGCTAATGTGATATACTATATCATTAGATTTTCATAAGTTAGAGCCATCATTGCATTCCAAGTATAAATCTTACTTCGTTATGTTACAGTCTTTTTAATGCACTGATGAATTCAGTGTGATATTTTGCAGAGGATTTTTTTCATCAGTATTCATCAAGGATATTGTTCTTTAGTTTTCTCGTAGTATCTTTGTCTGGTTTTGGTATCAGGATAATGCTGGCCTCATAGAATGAATTTGGAACGGTTCCTTCTCCAAATCTTTAGCAGAGTTTGAAGATTCGTATTAATCTTTCACTAAGTGTTTGATGAAATTCCTCAGCGAAGCCATCTGCTCTTGGGCTTTTCTTGCTGGAATATTGTCGAGGCTTCCATCTCTTTACTAACTGTAAGTCTGTTTGGTTCATATATTTTTATTTCTTTATGTTTCAGTGTTGTTAGGTTATATGTTTCTAGGATTTTATTCATTTCTTTCATGTTATCCAGTTTGTTGGCATATGATTTTTCATAGTAGTATCTTATAATCTTTTTTATTTCTGTGGCATCAATTGTAACCTACCCTCTTTCAGTTCTAATTTTAATTGCTTAAATCTTCTCCCTCCTCTTTTTTTTTTCTTTTTTTGGTGATACTGGGGTTTGAACTCAGAGCCTTGTATTTATAAGGCAGGTGTCTACCGCTTGAACCACACCTCTAGCCCTCAGATTTGTTGATTTTTTTTTCCCCGGTGGTGGGGCCTGAACTCTGGGCCTAAGCACTGTCCCTCAGCTCTTCAGCTCAAGGCTACACTCTACCAATTGAGCCACAGCACCACTACCAGCTTTTTCTGCTTATGTGGTGCTGAGGAATCGAACCCAGGGCCTCACGCATGCAAGGCAAGCACTCTACCACTGAGCCACCTTCCCAACCCAGATTGTTGATCTTGAAAGCAACAATTTTTAGCTTATCTAGTTCCTTCTTTATACTAACTCTTGTTTTCATTAGTTCTTTTTCTAGTTCTTTGAGGCATGATTTTGGTGACAAATTTGTGATCTTTCTTTATATGCAAGCCTTTATATCATAAACTTCCTGCATTTCCCACCTGGGTTAGTGGGGAGGCTCTCTGCATCCTGCAGATGTTATTTATTATGTTTTTATTTTCATTCCTTTCTAGGTATTTTCTAAAATTTCCTTCAAATTTTGCCTTTAAGCATTACTGGATGCTGCCCCTGAGCTCTTTAGCTCAAGGCGAGTACTCTACCACTTGAGCCATAGCACTACTTCTGGTTTTCTGGTGGTTTATTGGAGATAAGTGTCTCACAGACTTTCCTTCTCTGGGCTGGCTTTGAACCATGATCCTCAGATCTCAGTCTCCTGAGTAGCTAGGATTACAGGTGTGAGCCACCTTTGCCCACCCTAAGCATTGTGTTTTAAAGAATGAGTTGTTTAATTCAACAATGACTTTTTATGATAGCAAATGGTTACTGAAGGATTGAGATTTTTCTCTCCCTTTATTCTTAGAGACAATTGAAATTTTTAGTACATATTTTTATATATTTGGAATTTATATAAATATAAAGTAATAACATGATATTTTATAATATAAATTATAGAAAATATTTTTTTCGGATCAAAAGGACAAAAAGAAAAAGAAAATGTAGATACAATTCCCAGCCCCCCTTTACTCGCTTCTTCACAGGAACATAGTGGGTTATTCTTGTTCTCTTTTGAAAAAAAATAAAAGAGATTTTGTAAAAGTCTCTAAATTAAATTCAAAGTAACAATGATATGCGATAGTGACCATGTTTGTGGCTTAGAACTCTTAGGATTCATTTACATGATCTCTAGAATTCCTGGAAGATTATGTTTTGAGTGCTTATATTTGAGATGCTTATTTAGAGTAGAATAGTTCCTGGGACCCAGTTCTCTTTTTTTTTTTTTGTCGGTGGTGGGGCTTGAACTCTGGGCCTGGGTGCTGTCCCTCAGCTCTTCAGCTCAAGGCGAGCGCTCTACCACTTGAGCTACAGCGCCACTTCCGGTTTTCTGGTGGTTTATTGGAGATAGGAGTCTCACGGTCTTTCCTGCCTGGGCTGGCTTTGAACCGAGATCCTCAGATCTCAGCTTCCTGAGTAGCTAGGATTACAGGTGTGAGCCACCAGTGCCCGGCTTGGGACCCAGTTTTCTGAAACTGCCAGCAGGAATAAAGAATCTAACTTATGGGAATAAGACCAGAGGCATTAGTGGGTGCTGTGGCTGCTCTCTGAGTCACTGACATACTTTGATTGAAAACATATTCTAAAAACCAGATCCTCAAAACAACCTGGAGAGGGAGGTATTATTATCACTGTTTCTCCAGTGAGAAAAACTGAGGCTCAGAGAGGTCCAGAGGTCCCCATGGCTAGAGAGTAAGAATGTCTCTACCCAAGTCTGTGTCTCCAGGGCTCAGCCCCTCTGTCTAGGCTAAGTGCAATGACCTGCAGTCCAGCTGTGACACCTACTCATGAAGATGCTTTGGAAGGCTCCTGTCTTTATATCCTTCCTGTCTGTTACTGCTTGGAGACAGGAATGACTGAGCTAAAGTTTGCGGCAAGTGGCCAATCTGAGAGACAGAACTGTCCACTAGAAAGAGCTGCAGGGGCCAGACTCCCAGGAGAATAAGCAGGCTGGTGCCAGAGCATTTCAGCCCAACGTGAGGGCTCCTGTGTTGTCTCAGGAGTATTGC